GGATTCGCTGCAAAATTTGGATGATGTGCAAACGTCTAACGCAAATGTTCAGAACGCGTCGCGAAATTGACCATAGCATAACCAAAAAAGACATACTTTACGATATTATCGTGCGTCATTTGTTTTAGTATGGATATTTCTCTAATGGCGGTTGTCGGTAATCCCTCGTTTTGGAAAGTTTCGAGTCTCATTTTTTTTAACGCAACAGGACGACCGGTTCTTTGATCTTGCGCCCTGTAAACGACACCGTATGTCCCTTGTAGGGTTATTAAATAAAGTTGGGATGAACAAGTTGCCAACACGTTTATGAAAAAGTTATGATTTATTATTTTTCTTTCTTTGTTTTTGACTGATGTGTAACAACAAACTAGTGCTGAAGGAAAACAAAGAAACTAGTATCATTTAAATTTTTTTAAAGCTAACCTTCCCCAATTTTTTCACGTTTAATGTAATTTTCCGACATATTGGTAAAGAGTTGCAATATCACACGCGTGAATGGAAAGGGTTGCGGAGGAAATATGACGGACGAGAGAAGGTGAGGGAAGATCGAAAGAGTGTGCAGGGAAGTTTTCAGGATCATATAAAGATGAAAGAAAAAAATTTTGAGGGAACACAGGTCTCAAGCAATATCCCGATTTGGAATGACAGCACGCGAGATAAGAACCGTCATGTTATGCGAATTGACCGTTCTTTCTTTTTCCTTCTCCCTGGTTTGCGGGCTACGTGCATGAGTGCGAATATGATTGTCTCACTCCTTTTTTTTTTTTTCGAATTTAAATGGCGCAACAAGCAATTATCGTTATGTTCACTTAAATCCGTGGTCTCGCATTTAAATCGTGTAGAACATGGAAATTCGGTTTCTATCTATGGTTGACGGACTCGGAACCGCTAGTTTTGTTCAAATTACGAAATCATGATACGAATCTCATTTCAATTTCATCTCTGCCTGAAATCTTCACAGAAAACCGACACACCGTGACATCTCGCGTTTCGATGGAGATCGTGACTCGAAACATGTCAATTGGAAATCCTTCTACGCGAGCTTTTTTGCCAGCGTATCCAGGGAACTTGTATTCGACCGATCTGCTATCAAGGTGCGGATCTAAAAAACGTAAATCTGGTAATTCTGACAGGTATATAAAAATTCACATCGGTTTACTTATACAGGAAACGCGGTAACCAAAAACCGAAATTCTGACTCAATTTATATACTAAATACTCAGGGCGCAGATAGTGGTACGGTTACACGGCATCTCGGGTGCTATCTTGGCATTAAATTTCCATGTTTCCTTTTTTAACGCGATTCAAGAAAGTCAAACGTTATGTACGTACGTGCGTGCGTGCGTACACTTTGACACCGCATACGTAAGATTCTCGTTTTTTTAACATCACATGATACGTGATCGACATCACTGACTTTCATGTGTGCGTGCGTGTATGCTAGTTCCTTCGGTCACGTTGGCACGATCAAACTGGCGACCAGAATTATGACAATTTTTTTATTCAGTGAGACTTGATAAATTTTTCTCGGGATCTCGTGACTCACCAGATTCGGTATGGTTGAACAATATTCATCTCTGTACGACCTGAC